GAGAAAATATTTGCCAGCTACACATCAGACAAAGGACTGATAACCAGAATATATAGGGAACTTAAAAAACTAAATTCTCCCAAAATTAATCAACCTATAAAGAAATGGGCAAGTGAACTAAACAGAACTTTCTCAAAAGAAGAAATGCAAATGGCCAAAAAACACATGAAAAAATGCTCACCATCTCTAGCAATAAAGAAAATGCAAATTAAAACCACACTAAGATTCCACCTCACCCCTGTTAGAATAGCCATCATTAGCAACACCACGAACAACAGGTGTTGGCGAGGATGCGGGGAAAAAGGAACCCTCTTACACTGTTGGTGGGAATGTAAACTTGTACAACCACTCTGGAAAAAAATTTGGAGGCTACTTAAAAAGCTAAACATTGATCTACCATTTGATCCAGCAATACCACTCTTGGGGATATACCCAAAAGACTGTGACACAGGTTACTCTAGAGGCACCTGCACACCCATGTTTATTGCGGCACTATTCACAATAGCCAAGTTATGGAAACAGCCAAGATGCCCCACTACTGACGAATGGATTAAGAAAATGTGGTATTTATACACAATGGAATTTTATGCAGCCATGAAGTAGAACAAAATGTTATTATTCACTAGTAAATGGATGGAATTGGAGAACATCATTCTGAGTGAGGTTAGCCTGGCCCAAAAGACGAAAAATCGTATGTTCTCCCTCATATGTGGACATTAGATCAAGGGCAAACACAACAAGGGGATTGGACTCTGATTACATGATAAAGCGAGAGCACACAAGGGAGGTATGAGGATAGGTGAGACACATAAAAAACTAGACAGCATTTGTTGCCCTCAACTCAGAGAAAGCAAAGCAGATACTTTAAAGCAACTGAGGCCAATAGTAGAAGGGGACCAGGAACTACAGAAAAGGTTAGTTCGAGAAGAATTAACTTAGAAGGTAACACACATGTACAGGAAATCAATGTAAGTCAATTCCCTGTATAGCTAGTCTTATCTCAACTATCAAAAATCCTTGGTCCTTCCTATTATTGCTTATACTCTCTCTTCAACAAAATTAGAGATAAGGGCAAAACAGTTTCTGCCAGGTATTGGGGGCAGGGGGGATAAGGGAGGGAGTTGGGGAAGCGGAGAAGAAATGACCCAAACATCGTATACACATAAGAATAAAAACAAAAACAAGTGCTATAATAAAATTTTAGGCTTAGAATACTCAAATCACAAGGCCCAGAGTTGATTAGCTGACAATGCAGTGACAGCAGGACTGGTAACTGCCTTGAAGGACAGCAAGGAACAGACAACTCTTAGCACAGTTCTGGTCTTGTAGACCTCCTTACAGGGTGTCAGAGACTTCCCTAGCCCACTTGAAAGACCACTATTTTACAAAAAATGAAAACAGATTAATATAAAAACCCTAAACATATTGTTTAGTAAAATAAGCCATATTTAATGCTAGGTGTGGTGCAAATCCCAGCTACATAGGTGGTAGAGATAGGAGGAGTGTGGTCCAAGGCCACCCTAACGAAAAACATGAGACCCTATCTGAAACAAACTAAAAGCTAAAAGCGTCTAGGGCCATATCACCCTGAACTCACCCGATCATGTCTTAAAAGCTAAAAAAGTTGGGGGTGTGGAACAACACCTACTTGCAAGTAGAAGGCTCTGAGTTCAAACCTTTGTATTAAAAAAAAAAAAAAAAAAGCATATTGTATGATTACATTTATATAAAGAACAAAACCAAACAAAGCAATTCCGATGCTAGCACTTAGGCGATAGTCATCTCTGTGGGTACTGGAGAGGGGAGGGAAGGGTGGGCTTCAGAAGTGTGGGTAAACCCCAGGCTCTGACCTGGGTGGGGTCACCTTTAAATATCACCAAACCATGCAGCCGTCCTAGATGCCACTGTAAAGTAATCCCCCCGAATTCAAAGAACAAACAACTGTACTACATAATATGCTGTTCTTTAGTTAGTTTTTAAAACAGAACCTTGCTATGCTGCCCAACCTCCTATGCTGTTTCAAACTCCTAGACTCAAGTGATACTACTGCCTCTCAAGTAGCTGGGAATACAGGTACACACACTACCATGCCTGGCTTAAAATGTCTATTAAATAAATACATTCTCTGTTGGCTTTTCTCTTTAAGATATTCATATATAAATCTTGTTAACAGATTTCTAGAAATGAACAGCTTTCTTCCTGGGGTCAGCCCATTTACTGCCTAATGGTCATTGCTCCCTTAGTACAGAACTGCACTTGACCAGTGTTTCATGTGGGATTTTGGTAGTAGAGTGTGGAATGAGTGCAACCTCAGGAAAAGCTGCAGTGCTTTCTCTGTCTTTATCCTGCAGAAGAGTTCACATGACAAAACCACACTGGGCATTGCCCTGCTGGACCTTGAGATTTGCTCCTGCCATTTTATTTGATTTTCCACTGACTGAAGTTTCTTTTTGGTTTGCCTTTTGTTTCTTGGTTCTTTTGTTGGTGACAGTTAATTCATTTTCCATTTTACATCAATACCTGGAGTTATTTAGAGTGATTGACTGTCTAGATTCTTTCTGGAAGATGAGAACTTTAATCAAAGAATCTAGAAATACTCAAATTCACATGCCATCTGGTATAGGATTCAACTGGCATTTTAAATCAGTAGGAGAAGGAAATGTCAGGTGATAGATGGAGTCGGAACTCTGGCCGAGCCATTCTGAGGGAATTCTGGGATCTTTCCCAATTTACTTAAAAATTAAAAAGCTCCATCAAGGCTAGGTGTGGTGGTTCTTGCTTACAAGCCTAGCTTCTCAAAAGGAAGAGGCAGGAGGATCGTGGTCTGAGGCCAACCCAGGTAAAATCGTACCGAAAACAAACTAAAGCAAAAAGGTCTTAAGGGTATAGCTCAAATGGAGCACTTGCCTAGCAAGCATGAGGCCGAGTTCAAATTCCAGTACATGTATATATACATGTGTGTATGTATATCTGTCTCTATATATGTATATATGAAATTAAAGCTCTACTGAAATACAACTTATGTAACATAAAATTTACCCACTCTTAAGTATATCTACCTCAATTTTATCACAAATTCTGTATGAATCAAACATTTATATAGAAAAAATTAAATCAAACTAGTATTAGAAGATAGCTCAGATCAATTTACTAAAAATCAACAGGAGAGCCAGGGACTCACTGGTGGCTCATGCCTGTAATTCTAGCTACTCTGGAGGCAAAGATCAGGAGGACTGTGTTTCAAAGCCAACCCTGAGAAAATAGTCTGTGAGACTCTATCTTGAAAAATCCATCACACAAAAAGGGCTGGCAGAATGGCTCAAGCACTAGCATGAGGCCCTGAATTCAGACCCCTGTGCTGCCTAAATAAATAATAAATCAGCAGTAGAAAGGTTGGCTTATGATAATTATAACAGAACTCAGAAGTCATAAAGAAATAAGACTACTGCCTGTGTGTTTTGATTTGCAGACTAAGACAAGCAATTGAGAAACATCAAGTCAAAGATAACAGCACACTATACAAAGCTCCCAGGACCCCATTTGTAAGATATGTACAACATACTACAGAAGTGGGTCAAGGACATTTAATAGTTAATGCAGAAACAAATACCCTGTAATCAAAGATTGTGAGGAGGTGGATACAAGAGGATTGTGGTTTGAGATGAGGCAGTCATCTCAGCTGCAGAGGAGGCCACAGGTAGGAAAACTGCAGTCTGAAGTCCACCCTGCCCAACCCTTCCAGCAAAAAGGGTTTGGGGCATGGCTCAAATGGTAGAGCACCTGCCTAGCACATGTAAGTCCTTGATTTCAAATCCAAGTACTGCCAAAAAAAAAAAAAAAAGTACAACATATGTAACTGCTAAAAGTGAATCTGAGAGCTGGTGGAGTGGCTCAAGTGGTAGAACATATGCTTAGAAAGCATGAGACCCTGAGTTCAAACCACAGTATCACCAGAATAAATGAATGAATAAAAATTAATCTGAGATGTGCAACAAAACTAATGTCGTTAGATCACTGAGCAGTATCACCTGGGATTGTTGCCCAGCACTAGTTTTAGAGTAACTCACTAAATATAGTGCTCTACCTTAAGTTATGATGGTTGAAAATTTTCTCAAGAAAGTGTAACACATTTAGACAATGACCCCCAATATATTTATGCCAGTCCGACCCTTAACTTCCCATGTTCCCCCTTATCAAATCTGTTGTTGCTACTTTAACCCCCTCAGAACTAAAAGAGCTTAAATTTGTGCCTATACTTCACAGTCCACTCAGAAATTCTAAAAACTCTCTAGGTTTCTTTGAGACACTGGACCCAGTGCTGAGGCCCCAAGAAGCATCCACAGAAGGTCCCCAGGGACACTCACAGATGGTTCCCAGGAGCCCCTGCCAATGGTGCCATGCCCACCAGGGAGAATGCTGTAGGTGAGGCAAGACCAAAGGTGCTATGATTCCCAGTGCTCATCTTCAGATGGACACAGAACAGAACTGTCTCGAAAAGGAGCATTACTGGCACTTGTGATGCACCCAGAGTTAGCAGAATTGCATATACCATTCCACAGGCCCTCAGATAGCCCTGGACACACTCTGCAAGGAGGAGCAAAAGCTTCAACCTCCAGAAATTTGATTACCCCACCATGGAGTGTCCAGGATAGAGTGAGGGCAGTCACACAGAGGCCAATCACCAAGCAGCCATCAGGGGCACATGGTAGGCCAATGGATAATACTAGATTAATATTCTTACTCTTCCCAACCTAAGGCTTAAGAAGGAGCTCATGAGCTTATGTCAATGACACTATGCAGGAAGACAAACACTACTGAGATGTAAATAAACTAGTAATTCCAGAGAAAGAAAAGACAAAAATCCAAATAAATTAAAAAAAAAAAAAAAAAAGTAGGAAATTTCACCAGGACCTACCAGAATCCAGAGCAGACTCTCAGGACCTACAATCAATTTCACAATTCCTTTCATTCGTGCCACTACCCAAGAAGCATGGTCTTACCTTTGGAGCACGGTCAGTCTCAGACATGCTCTCTTTAGAAGTCCTGCTGTCCTCTGTGGGAAATGCAGCAGCCTGGTCAGCTCCATGGTCCTCATCCTCTTCTAGCTCATCAGAGTCATCCTCTTCTGAGTCCATCTCCAAGCTCTCCCCATTCACATGTAGGGTGTTATCATCCAAGGCCTTCTCACCCTGGAACATGCAGTGCATAGCTCTCAGAAGGACCACTGCCTAGTACCAAAAAACCTGCCAACTCACTGTGAATTAGGATTTCTGGAGATGTGAGGGCCTGCCAGAACCAGGAATGTCGTGACAGTGTAAGCAGGGATGCTGGGGTAAGGGCAGGGTCTCCAACAACCCACCTGGACATAGAGGTTGTACCCTACAGCAGAAGAGCTCTAGAGCTTTGGTTCCTTCCACAGGATCAAGGTCATCCAAATTACTGATGACCTCACAGGATGCTTTTTTGACCAAAGAGGCCCTGGAACTGGAAATGTACTTCCAAGCACATGTGGCAAACAACTCACATGTCCCTCTTACCTTGGGGCCCACAGTGGAATGAGTTATGCTCTTAAACATCTCAATCACCGTCCTCTGCTTTAATACTTTGGTCTTTTTCTTGGGAACCAGGCTATAGGTTCCCATTCTTCGTTTTTTCTTCCGAGATACTGCAGCTGCTAAAACAAAAGGCAAGCAAGCTAAAAAAAAAAAAAAGTCAAAAGGGGACAAAAAAGGAAAAGAAATAGCATTCAAATGTTTTTAGAGGCAGGAGACAGTTTACAAAACCTGATTACCAAACTCATCAGCAAACCCAATGACATCAGGCTCACTTCTGTGGGTAGCAACACAGGATGATAGTTATCTCTTACTTGGTACGAATTGTAGAGAAAGCCAAAACACTTCCAACATCACATTTTGTTCAGAATAAAACACTGAGCAAATATCATCACTCTACTTCACAAAGAGGAAAAAAATCACAAACTATCAGAAACAAGGCCTGGAGAAATGCCCACATGTGGCCTCCTCAGGCTTGAATAGAAGAGATACTACCTGTGAATGCCTGATGAATATATACTGAACATGTACAAACTTTTTTCTTTCATTATTCCCCAAACCTTGAAGTGTTAACAAATATAGACATAGTTGGTAGGTTCATGGTATTAGGTGCTATAACCAAACTAGAGATGATTTACAGTACAGGGAGGATGTGTGGCAATACTGTACTGTATTATATAAGGGACTTGAGCATCTGCAGATTTTGCTAACCATGAGGAGAGTGTTCCTGGAACCCATCCCTCATGGAAACCAAGGCAGGACTGCATACAGCTTCTCAGTAGTTTTATTTTTTTCGGTATTGGGGCTTGAACTCAGGGCATACACCTTTAGCCACTCTACAAGCCCTTTTTTTGTGTGTGTTAGGTATTTTCAAGATAGGTCTTACAAACTATTTGCCTGGGCTAGCTTCAAACCACGTTCCTCATGATTTCTGCCTCCTGAGTAGCTAGGATTATAGGCATGAGCCACCAGCGCCTGTCTAGTAGTTTTTTCCTTAACTCGTCATAATAGTCCATGATAATTAATGTACAGGCCAAGGCATACTGACTGTTCATAAATGAAGTCTTGCAGGCTTCAAGGCCATGCACCCGAACCCTTCACAGCAGCAGTTGGAGGCTGCTGTCACGCTATGAAATGAAGTCACCCTCAAAAGCCTAAGGTTATTTCCCACATGCCTGTCCACAGAAACAGTTTGCTGACTCCACAGTGACCTTCAGGGTAAGGACAAGGGAGACAAATGTGCCTGGGAACTGTCTGGAAGTTGGTAGGACATTCTAATGGTCTTTCTTACCAGGTTAACTAGCTACACATGTGACACACATACCAGTGAAGTACAGAATTTACTGTTCTAGTGAAAGTCACAAAAATGTCAGTGAACAAATTCAGAAAATGGTTTACTGAGCACCTGGACATCTATGAACAGGTGGCTGAAGCATGAATGGGGGGGAGGGATGTTCTGCCTCATTTCTGCAGGGGAGGTCTTCACAGTGACCAATCAGAGGGTCCAGGCCCAGAGTCAGAAGACAGGGATCCAGAATGATGATCAGGGTTAGGAGAAGGAACTGAAGGAAAGCTGGCAGTCAGTTCAGAAAGGGATGTAGGGCCTCCTTGAGTGGAGAGCTCATGGTCCAGACCTCAAAGAGAGGCAGGAGGGGGAGGGGCCTGGTACACAGAGCTTTAGGGTAAGAACCCCAAGAACTCATGGCCCAGACCAGTATCTCCAAAGCATTCTGGGAGACTCAAGCACAGGCCAGCAGAGACAACGCAGTGGGGGCAAGGGCACGTCCAGCTGCTCTACAGAAAGGCAGTGTAGCAGCTGTGGTTAGAAAGAAAGGCAGCATACTCTGGAAAGCAGACGAGGCTGACTGGGTGGCCAAAAGAAACAGGAAGCCCAAGACCACTCCAGTCACTTTTGCAGCCTTCAAGTGACTTCTTCCCTTGGGACACAGAAAAAGCACCTGGCTGGCCTCACCCCTGGGGGCAGAACACAAAGGCCAGTAACCTGGGTCAAAGCCTCCTGCTTCCTTATTCCAAAAAGTCCATGGACATTCCAGGTCCCTCTAGAATCTACCTACAAAGAGCCCAGACACCACCTGCATGAGTAACTGAAGATAGCTTGCCTCAAACCATGTCCAGAGGCGACTGTCCACAAGGTAGAAAGGAGCTTCACCTTTAGGGCTCCTCTGTAGCACAGCAATAATCTGTAGTCTATGTAGAGTGGAAGCTCAAACTGATTTCAGGAATAAGTTTTCTGCGTGTGTGTTAGTCTTACAACACACAGAACATAAATTTGCCATCTCAGTCATTAAATGTACAGTTCATCGATACATCCATCTCCATTGCTCTTCATATCTTGTAAAATGCAACTCTGTCCCCATGAAAAACTGACTCTCCAGCTGGTAGCATCCACCATTCTAATGCTCTGCCTCTATGATTTTGACTACTCTAGCAACTTCATACAAATGAAATCATGTAATACTTGTCCTTTGTATTGTTTCACTTAACATAATGTTCTCAACGTTCATCTACTCTGCAGCATATCGCAGAATTTTTCTGTTTTCTGGGGGTGGGGGGTTTACTGGGGGGGTTGAAGTCAGAACCTCGCACTTGCTACGCAAGTGTTTTACCATTTGAGCCACTCCGCCAGCCCTTTATTCACTGGTTATTTTTGAGATAGGGTTTTGTATTATGCCCTTTTCACTGTTACAACAATGCTAACAAATCCAACACTGCAGTCCTTCCCCTCTCTTTTCCTCTAAGAGTTCTATAATTTTAGGTCTTACATTTAGGGTTCTGACCATGTTGAGTTAACTTTTGTACATGGTATGAGGTAGATACCAGCACCATTTGTTGAGAAACTGTCCTCCTTTCCCCCACTGAGCAGCCTTGTTCATCTTGTCAAAAATTAACTGACCAAGCAAAGCAAGGTGGTGTGCACCTATAATCCCAGCTACTCGGGAGGCTGAGGCTTGGGGATTATGAGTTTGAGCCCTGCTGAGGCAACACAGCAAGACCAATCTCAAAAAAAAAGGGAAAGATGGCCCAAACGATGTATACACATATGAATAAATCTATAAACAATTTTGAAAATTCTTAGAAAAAAATTCATTTCATTGGTCACATGTGTAAGGAATTATTTCTGAGCTATTCTATTCCAGTACACTTTTTTTTTTGGCAGCACTGAGGTTTGAACTCAGGGCCTCATGCCTGCTAGGCAGGTGATCTACCACTTGAGCCACTATGCCAGTCCCCTTGCTGTCTTTTGGTTATTATTTGCATGGATTTTGGGGCATAGGGGTGTTACCAGAGTTTAAACTCAAGGCCTTGCACTTGCTAGGCAGGTGCTCAACCATTTGAACCATGTCCTCAGTCCCTTTTGCTTTAGTTTGTTTTTAGATAGGGTCTTGTGCTTATGCCTGGGCTGGCCTCAAACTGTGATCCTCCTAGCTCTGCTTCCCAAGTAGCTGGGACTACAGATGTGAGCCACTATACCCAGTCCTGTATTTTTTAAAATACTGAAATACTGAAATGTGTAAATTCTTCTCCATATCCTTTTGCGTATAAGGTTACTATGGGGATTACATTATTATGCTACAGTCCCAGTACCCTAATTTGAACTTACTTCAGTTTTTTTGTTTGTTTTCTTGAGGCAGGGTCTACCTATGTGGCCCAAGCTGGCCTCAAACTCGCAATCCTCTTGTCCCAACCTCCCAGATGTTAGAATTACAGGCATGCACCACCATGCCCAGCTCATGAATCCAGCTTAACTTCAATAATATACAAAAACTCCTCTCCTTTATAGCTCTCATACCATCCTTTTGGCTATTATCACCAAATTACATCTTTATTCACAATACAAAGTAACAACTAATAATTATATTCGTCTCTTAAATTACATTTAAAAAATGAGCAGTTACAAGCCAAAATTGCAGTACAACTGATCATTGTTTTTATAATGTATTCCTCACTTGTTCTGCCACTTGAGCCAGGCCCCAAGCCTTTTGCTTTTAGTTTGTTTTTCAGATAGTTTCATGCTTTTGCCTGGGCCAGTACTGGACTATGATCCTCCTATCTCTACCTTCCAAATAGCTGGGATTATAAAAAGTGTGCACCACCACACTCAGCCCGAGACCTGTATTTCTTTATACAACCTGGAGTCATTGCATAGTATACTTTCCTTTCACCCTGAACAAATCCTTTAAGCACGTCTTGTAGGGCAAGTCTAATGGTAACTAATTCCTTCAACTGTATTTATCTTGGAATATCTTAATTTCTGCCTCACTATTAAAGGAACATTTGGATGGATTCTTGGCTGTCAAGTTTCTTTCTTTTTGAATTTATCAATTTCTGTTAAGAAACCTACAGATAACCATACTAGGGATCCCTTGTACGTGGTAAGTCATTTCCCTCTTGCTGATCTCAAGATTCTCTCTCTGTCTCTATCTTTCAAAGTCTGGTTATAATACATCTCAGCATGGGTCTCTTTGAGTTCACCTCATCTGAAATTGGTTGAGCTTCCTGAACATATCATGTCTTTCATCATACTTGGGAAACTTTAGCCATTTTTTCTTTAAGTATTCCTTCTCTCTCTCTCTCTCTCTCTCTCTCTCTCGCCACCCCCCCCCCGTCTCTCTCTCAAAAATTTTTGTCTGGGAGACCTGCCTTCGAGTCTTTCTGAGGTGATTTTCTGCTGATTTACTATTTCCTTTGAATTGGTCACACTTCCCTGGGTTTTCTTGTGCCTGGTGACTTTTGTCAGAAACCAGACATCTGGTTCTAGTGATGTGGTCACTCTGGAAAGCAGCTACTGAGCCTTCCTCAAGGCTTGCTGTTTGCTGTTTACTGCTTTGTGTTTTGGGTAGCTGTGGGCTATCTCTGTGCCAAGGATTACCCTGAAGTGTAGATTTAAGGTCCTGTCACTCCTCTTCTGAACTTGAACCTCTCCCTGAGCATACAGTCATTTTCTAGCTTTCCCTATACATATACTTGCTTTTGAATGTCCTAGTCTTTAATGTTTAGGTCCCAAGAAGCAAAAAAAAAAAAAGAAGGTAGAGAACAGAAAGGGCATTGGCTCTTCAAGACCCCTAGCAGTCACTTGGGGGTGGGGGACTTGCAACAACCTCACCACAGCCTCCTAGTCTGGTACTTGTATAAGAGCACAGACTGCTGCTATCTGGAGGACAGGGCCCTTTCTGCTGCCCTGGCTCCTAGAGCTGAATGCTAGATGCTCGAGGACACGCACACTCCCAGTATGGTGGGCTTGGCTGGGCGCATCTGTGACTCTGCTACAGGCTAAGACTGACACTATACTACCATTCCTGCCACGATGGACTACTATAGGCTCAAATCCAAGCACTCCCTGGGAAGCTGCAAATCTTCCACAGATTTGAGTCCCAAAGCAGCCAGAGCAGACAGATTGCCAGTATAGCTGCAGTCCAGGTGGGACACAGCTCCGGCTGCTTCTTGTTCCACTATACCCCAGGTTCCTCTGAAAGAGGTGTTGGTCGGAATTCTGTGGGTTTTTAATCAAGAACATCTACACACAGAAAAGAAAACAGAAAGAACCACTGACAAAGGAACAATCCACTTTGCCAAAAGAACTAAGGCCCAATTCTAGACACCTGTGAGCCTCTGCCAGTTTGCTCCCCTGGGGATGCAATGGGTTCTCAATCTCTGACTTTTCACACAAAAGAGTGGAGGGGTGAGATATAAGTCCTGCAGGCTTCTATCTGCTTGAGAAAGGAACAAACTGCCCCATAGAGCTTGTCTATGGCTTCAGACAGAAAATGTACTTTTAGTCAAATGGAATCTGCTCATCTTTCCTGCCTGTGGTTGACTCACTGGTTCAGCAGGAATGAAAAGAACAGACTTCTGTGATCCTCACCACAGTAATATTAAAGATTAATAAAGAGATGGCTTGATATCTTACGACAGTCTGACACAACACTGACACTGGCTCTGACCCTGCCCAGAAGGAAGCACACGGCGTGCTGAGGAAGCAGCAATGAGAGACAGAGGCTGTCCCGCTCCTGTTTTCATCACCTTTCCTACCACACTGATAGTGGCCTCCACCGTCCCCAACTCAGGACAAGAGCATTTTCCCCGGAGATTGCTGCATAGCCACCAGCGATGGTGGCAGGACAAGATGGCCATGCAGGGCATGCTCCTCTCTGGAAAATACTTTCAGGCAAAGGAACTGTGAGTTCTTGCCACCACCACCACCACCACCGAAAGTGGGCAAGTCCTAAGGCTGGGAAGCAAAGAAGCAGATGGGCTAGGGAGCATATGCAAAAACAAAACCAAACTGTCAGGTGAGTGCTGGGAACATATCACATCGTCAGTATGAGGACATCCCAAAACAGACTGACCTGCCCTATGCTAACATTACCTATGTTAATGAACTGAAACTTCCAGCTCACAGGGAACGAAGGGAAGCGATATGGAAGGGTATGAAAAGATAAACTGGGCAAACGTTGAGCACATGGGCATTTTGTTTTAGATAGCTCTTATCAAAAAGAGGATGAAATAATAAGACTAAAATATCTTAGCATTAACCAAAACATTGACTCTTGACGTTCCATGCCAGTCCTTACATACATGAGTTTAACTATAGAGCTTTGCAGAGTGCCAAGTTTAACTGTTTGAACTGAGGCAAATAATCAAAAAGGAGAAGGGACTGTTTTCAGCCTGGGAAGGAAAAGGACAAGATGAGCCTGGGTCATCTAGTCCAGCCAACAGTAATGGACACATCTGAGGACCCAGGATCTGGCTAACGGCAGCTGATGGCCAAACCCCAGATGGCTCAAGCAATAAAAAATGGTAGTAATGGAATATAGCCTAAAGACTCAAATGAGTTTACAAGTTGCTATGGTTTAATACTTTTGTTTATTTGTTTATGAAAAAGGGTCTGCTACATGGCCCAGGCTGGCCTGAAACTCAAGTTCCTCCTGCCTCAGCCTCCTCAGTGCTGAGATTACAGGTGTGAACCACCACATCCAGCTTATAGGATCTTGAATGTCCAAAGGCCATATATTAAAGGCTTGGTCCCCAGTGTCGTGCCACTGTAAGGTAGTGGAGTTTTAAAAGATAGGGCCCAGTGGGAGATCTTCAGGTCACTGGGGATGTGTCCTCAGAAGGGATAGAGGGAAACCCACTAAAATCTTTTAAGTTGGGGTGGAAGGAGAAGGAGATGGGAAGAGTCCCACAGAAAAGGTGAATGTGATCAAAGGACATTATGTGTCATATAAAAATCACAATGAAGCCCCTTTGCACAATTAATTTTTGACTAATTTTTTTTTCTTTTTTAAAGAAAGAAATAGTGAGTCCCTGGTCCTTCTTCTTTCTTTATTTTCACCTCTGAGCCACTGGGTGAGTACTTCTGCTCTGCCACATGTTCCTGCCATGTGCCACCAAAATAACCTTTTTCTTTGTGTAAGCACATTATCTTAGTTACGTGATTATAGTAATAGAAAGCTAACACATGAGACAACACTTAAAAATAGGTAAGCTAAGTGGACAGGAAAGTGAAGCACCTCTTAAGGAGAGAGAGAAATGTAACTCATCAACAGAGAGAAAGCAACAAGACAGAGACCACCACTCGGAGTCCACTCTCTTCAGCACTTCCTGGTAGGCTACAATGAGAAGCAGGACACTGCAAAGACTCAGTCTCTTTCCAAGACACATACAAGGACAACTTAGGGAAAAGGAACTTTACAATGCAGAGACCTGTAGCCTCTTCTTGGCCCTAACAGGACAAAAAGCTACCAGAATGCAACTATTAGACAGGGAGCAGCCCCTTTGGTACTCCATGGTCCTCCAGAAGCACTCGGAAAACCTTATCAGGCAGGTTGCACCTAGCTTGTGCTCTCGAACACCAAAGTCAGGAAGGCCAAAGAAGGCCGAGATATTTCAGATTAAAGACTAACAAGACACGACAACCAGGTAACCATAGAATCTAGGATAAGAATTTTTCTTTTGTTGAAGGGACATTAATGAGAAACTGGCAAAAATTGAGCAATGAACTAAAATTATATCATAGCATCACAACAAGGTTAATTTCTTGATTTTGACTACTGTATTATAGTTATCTAAAAGAAATGTCCTTGTTTTTAGGGGCATTATACCATTATTTTTAGGAAAAACATGTAGGTTATTTAGAGGTACAAGTCTGCAACTAGCAGGTTATGTTCATGCTTGAGAAAAAAAGGTGTTTTTTTTTTGGGGGGGGGAGGCATAATTGTGCCTTTTGGTAAAAGAAGGGAAGGGCACACAGAAATCCTTTGCAGAATTTCTGCAACTTTGCTGAAGCCTGAAATTACTTACAAATAAAAAGATTAGCCAGCATGGTGGTGCATACCTGTAATGTCAGTACTTGGAACATTGAGGCAGGAGGACTGCCAAGTTCAAGGTCAGTCTGGGCTACATAGCAAGTTCTAGGCCAACCTGAGCTACACAGAGACCCTACACAGAGACTGGAGAGGAGTGGAGGGGAAAAAGAAAAGAATACTTTAAAAATCTGGAAAAGAAATGACCAATGACCAGGTGAGACTCTCAAAGAAAGTCTTTCAGGTCAACAACATTGAGGAAAGCTTGCTGGTGAACCCTTTCCAACATCAAACTCACCATTATCAAACTCCATGATAAGGGAATAGCCCATCTCTTCAGGAACAGTGCCACAGCACAGGTCCTGGAAGCTGAGGAAGGAAAGCCTGGGGAGCCTGGGTATCCTTCACTCTGAGGCACACAGCCTACTAGTAGCCTCCTGTGGGGCCACTTATGCTCCCTCACTTCCTCCAAGAGGCCCTCAGTAGTAAGTTTGTCCCCTCCCCCAACTGAGGAGGGGCAAAGCAAGCTCAGCAGAGTGGAGAAATGCCCACAGAGAAGTGGTTAGTGATAAAGCTGGAGTCTTTGGCACCCCAAGGTGCCACATCCTAGTGCTTCCAACTGCACCTAACTTAGATCTGGGAGTGTTCTCAAACAGACCACTTGAGTAAGATTTTATTAACAACACAATGTTCACCTTGAGACTGAAGGCAAGCAAGGAGAACAGAGCAGGTGTCACACAAGGCTTTAGGACAAAGGTCGGGGACCCCTAAGCCACACAGGGCTATCACTCATTATTTATCTTAAGCAGCACCCATGACACCATCTGGAGGACAGGGGCTGAAGGCACACATGCAGAAAGACAGTTGTTGGTCCCCTTTACCTGTCTGTGACTTTGTGGTGGCCATGTAGCATTGGTTCTGAGGTAGTGACTGGTGAAGGGATGGGAAGGGGGTAAAAGCGGCTGTCGTCCACAGTCAGAAATGTTTCTGTTGACTTCCTCTTTTGGATCCTTGTGGTCTCTAGATTCTCGAACTTCTCTGGGGTCCTTGCTGGCCACATGCTTCAAAACAAAGACAATTAACAACTGTGACTGTGCACAAGCATACTGTCACTGAAATAACATGCACCCAAAATCACATCAGGTAATTCCCATCAACTGAAAGATGGGTCATGATAGGAGAAAGTAGAAAGTTCGCAAGTCCACACAGCATGGCTGCCATCAAAGAAACACCTGGTGCTAGGACACATGTGCCTGTCACCTGCAGAATGACTGAAGTTAGCATTGCAAATCATGGCCCAAGTTAAGAACAGGCTTACAGGTCTAATGGTAAGAAGGAGAAGGCCCGAAGAGAAGAGAAGACAAGAGAAAAGGCAGGAGCAGTGGCTTATGAAACATTTTCTACCTGATTTTTTCTGGAAAAAAATCTGTCAACACTTGATTTAGGTAATAAATGTTACTGACCTAAAAAACAAAACAAAACCCCAACGTGGGCAGCATCAAAAACTCTCAGGAGGCCAGGCACCAGTGGCTCAAGTGGTAGAGCACAAAGCCCTGAGTTCAAACCCCAGTATTCAGGAAAAAAACAAAAAACAAACAAACAAACAAACAAAAGAAACAAAAATTCTCAGGGAATGCATTCAGTTTCATGACTACACTTTCCAGTATCTCCTATATGGCATATATTCCATGATAAATAATTATGACACATTTAAAAAATGGTCTTTTGCTGTTTTACAGATCTAAATCTGCTTTAGTCTTGGCCTTTCAAGACCCCTACAAGGCAGCTTAGCTGTGGGATGCCAACAATAAGTTCCTGGAATCATTGTCACCCTGCTTTCACTTCATACTGCTGAGCACCTCTAAACCTCCATCCTCTATCTGCTTCCATGAAGCCTGGAGATGGTTTGTCTCAAATACAATTCAGTTTAACCAAATTTTATTGTGTACATGGTAACTGCCCTAAGTAATGAAGAGTATTCAAAGACAAGGCTTCCTTCAACATATGGTACTGAGAAAATGGGATACCCACATGCAGAAGAATGAAGGACCCTTCCCTCATACCATATACAAGAGATAACTCTCATGCAGTCCCCTTCCCTTGCTGCCCTCCCTATCACCTTTCCCCTCTCCTCCTGCTCCCTCAACATCCCCTGGCAGTCACTTCTCAGGCTTCTTGCCAGTCAGACCCTAAGCAGCAGGGAGAATTCTCAAGCTGGACACTACTCATCACTAACTTGCACCATTACTAAGAACTGACCTCACCTATAAGGTGGAATGGCAGGGCCACCTCCCTTCCCACACCCAGAGGAGAAGTTGAGTGATATCCCACTGACACTTTCTGGAGTGTGCACAATTCAGAAGAAAAAGAAACTAGAGAAACTTCCAAGATCTAGACCAGGTGAACAGCTCTCATGAACTCTCTCAAGAGCAGAACCCAGAAAAGAAAACTGATAAGCTAGACTACTTCAAGACAAAAAATTAGGACCAGGTGTGGTGGAATATGCCTATAACTTCAGCACCTGGGAGATGGAGGCATGAGCATCACAAGCTTGAGGCCAGCCTGGGCTACATAGCAAAACCCTGTCTCAAAAGGAAAACCAAATGAAAAACAAAACAAAACATGTTGCTCTAGAAAAGACTTTCTGAGAGAAAAAAGGTAAGCTCCAGAAAGAACATATCTGCAAGCCACATAACCACCAAAGGACTCATATGCAGAAAAAAGCTCACAAAACACCTAATCATAAAAGGTGCAAGTGGAGCCAGGCACCGGTGACTCATGCTTATAATTCTAGCTACTCAGGAGACAGAGATCGGGAAAATCACAGTTTGAAGCCAGCTTCACGCAAATAGTTCAGGAGATCCTATCTCAAAAAAACCTAACACAAAATAGGGCTGGTGGAGTGACTCAAGTGATAGAGCGCCTACATAGCAAGCCTAGCAAACATGAGCTCCTGGGTTCAAACTCTAGTGCCACCAAAAAAGAAACAAGTGCAAGTGGTGTGAAAGATAGCTACGCAGGAGGAAGAGATCAGGAGGATCGTGGTTCAAGGCTAGCCCAGGCAAGGAAAAGTTAGAGAGACTCTATCTCAAATAATAACTAGAGCACAGTGCTGCATACCTATAATCCCAGCTATGTGGGAGGTAGCTTTTTTTGGTCTGAGGCCAGGCCTGGCAAAAAGCTCAAGAGTCTATCTAAAAGCAAAAAGGGCTACAGGTGTAACTCAAGTGACAGAACACTTGCCGAAGGCCCTAGTTCACAACTTCAGTACAACCAAAAAAAAAAAAAAAAAAAAAAAAGATCTGGAAGACATTTTACTAATGACAACACAGCTGGTAAGTGAGCACATGAGAAACACTCCACACTGGAGCCACGGGGAAGTGCAAGTTGAATCACAGCGAGATGCCACCACTGCACACAAGAGCACCAGTAACAGCAGCAGAACAAAATGCTGATGAGGATACCAGAAACCAGATGGCCCTGACACTGCTGGGAAATGTGCCATGTGCAGTACCCTGATTTATGGTTTGCCAGTTTCTTATAAAACTGAACATCTAATTGCACACAACCCTTAATGGTATCCTGGACATTTAACCAGAGGCAAAAGCGTGTTCATAAATGGTCAAAGCAGCTTAGCAGCCAAGCCTAAACATATCCACACTGTGCATAGCCTGCAGAGAAGCAGACTGGTGGGCAGCCTGGATGGGCCTTAAGAGAGCTATGCTGCGGGAAAAGGTTCCATATGCTATGATTTGCTTGTAGGTATCTGAAGTAACTGAACTGCAGAAATGAAGAACAGACTAGAGGTTGTTGGGAGTCAGGGATGAGGCTGGTGTTATGGAAAGCTCCATACTTGGGGTGGTTATAAACATCCGCACTTGCTCGTGCACATACATGTGCATAAATGTTAGGATAAAGCTGAGCACCACACCAGCCTGACTGAGTGCCATGTATGGCTCTGTGGTTGCTGCAGAGATTATGGGGCAGTGGTGGGTGCAATGTGGAGCTGTGCTGCTAGCCACTGACCCCTAAGCACAAGGTCCCCAAGCCATCAGTGTTCTCTGCCAAGCAGCTGTCTAGGTGCAGATAAAACTGTACCAATTAAATGTCCTGCTTTGGACACTACTCTAGGTATGTAAGATGTCACCATCAAGGGAAACTAGGTAAAAAGCACGTGGAATGTGAATATGTAATTTCCCCCACCCCCAAGTTTGACATGTATAGAAGAATGCTGCAAAAGGCTGAAACTGAATCAGGCTAGGACTTGAGCCATCCCAGGGTGACAGGTGGGTGTCACACCATGTAGCACCTAGGTAGCTGCCTGGCAAAGAACAGAACACTGATGGCTTTGGGATCCCGTGCTTTGGGGTCAGTGGTTAGGTTAGCAGCACAACTCCACACTGCACCTACCACTGCCCCATAATCTCTGCAGCAACCACAGAGCCATACATGGCACTCAGTCAGGCTGGTCCATAGACAAAAACAGGGGGGAGCACCCTGAGAAGAGGTATACATCAGAGAGGAAAACCATCATGAGTAAAAGCTGCCATGTCCTAATAGAATGTGTGTGAGGAGCCAGAGTTCATAACAGAAACTATCAAATTACAATCAGAATCTTTTGAAGGATAAGATGAAAGATGATGCAGAACAGGTTTTAATTAAAAAAAAAAAAAAAAAAAAAACAACTAACCACAGATGACAGATATGAGAAAAATAAAAGACAGCAATATATGGAATGAACAGAAGAATGTAAAGGTCTAAAGGAATAAAGGAGGAAGTAGAAAACAGGCAATGCACTGCCCAGAGAGCCAGAAGACCCAGTGTCCACCTAAAAAGAATTTTATGAGAAAGAGACAAAAAGACAATTGTACACTGTGTGTTCCTGAAGCTGGTGACACAAATCCTCAGATCGGCAGGGAAAGGTCCCGAATGGGAATCCCTACAGGCTGCAGAAGAAACAGCAGAAATCTACACATGAATGACAAGACCACCTTAGAATATAACACTGCCAATCTTCAGAAATCCTGATCATAAACCCAGAATCCACCCCCAGTCAAATTAATATCAGAAAGCAAAGTTAATAGCCATACGCATTTTGAAAAATATCTATCATGCACAGGCCATGTAAGACATGGGGATGAGCAAAAGCCCAGCAAGCATTAGGTGTAAGAATCTCTTCTGTGCTAAATGCTCAGGACATAGGACTCATTTTGCTCACAAGGTAACCCTAAGCCTGGTGCATCTTTACACAGTCCTCTGTCCCCAAACTTCTGTCATACCATGGACCTAAACAACCAACTTCATATCCATGTGCTTCTCAGCAGCAGTGCTAAACCTTCCCAAGTTGGAATGAAGCCTCCAGGCCACAGCAGCAGAAGTCCTCTGCCTAACATTGTCTAGCATATTTTCACATGGACAAAAGAAGCCACCAAGAGACACCCTGGAGAGGAGACCGAGGCAGTGTCATCTGGCTTTGTCACTTATGCACAAGGTGTTCGCAGTATCTCCTAACTTCTCACAGACCTAGAGGCAACCACTGCCATTCACTAGCTTTTCTCTTTAATGCACTCGTTAAAACAAAGCAGGGATAAAGATGTGGCTCAAGTGGTAGAGCATCTCTGTAGCAAGCACAAAAGCCTTGAGACAAATCCCAGGGTTTAAACAAGAAAGAGAGAAAGACAGATACACACACAGACAGAAAGACAGAGACAGAGACAGAGAGAAGAAACAGCAAGAGAAGATACAAAATTACCAGGCCCAGTATGGATTTCGGCATGGTCTTGCGTGCCCTGTGAACCCTGACATCAGTGCCAGGTGCTGCAGGCTTCCTGTCCTCTGTGTCTGCACTCCCTTCCCGAGCACAGCAGGCGCTGTGGCTGGCAGCTGGAGAAGTGAACTTGGAGTCCTGCCTTTACTGGCTCCTGCAGGAAGGGTTTTTGCAGCATGGCCAGGAAGTGAGGAGGCCAGAGTGTTGGGAGTCCTCAAAGGCTGTCCCTGCAGGGCGGGTTTATTTAAGAAGTATCCGTTGCTGCCAATGACAGAAGTCTGCAGGAAGTCATCAGCTGTAACATGATTTTGCTTCCCCACTTCAGTGTCTCTTTCTGAAACCCCGTTCTCTGCTATTCGGGATGCTCTGTGGGTACCTTCCTGGGGGCTGGCTCTCATGCTCTCCTGAGTATTTTTGGCCACATTTTGGTGATTGGTGTCACCACTCTTTTCACAAGACCCGTTGGTTTCGCCATCTGCAGCCACAGGGGCCTCTCCTGCCTGTTTTTCTGTGGAACCTTCATCAGCAGCCATAGGTATATCTGTAAACAGAGAAAGGAAGGTCACTGACTGCTGGTACCTGCCTTCCCACACAATCGTAACCAGCATAAGCTGCAATTTCTTTGACTGATTTACACAAAACTGTCTACATGGCTGGGAGTGTTGCTCAGTGGTAGAGCAGCTGCCTAGCATGCATGAAGCCCTGGTTCTACCCAAGCACCATAAAAATTGCCTATAGAAATCTTTACATACAAACCCAACACTTAAGTTCAACCGGTTAAATATAAAATTTTCTCTTAAACATTAACTTTTGGTTAAGTTTGAGGGGTCATCCATTTAAGAAAAGCCTGCGTGTAGTTGGTGATAAAAACTAGGCTCCAGAAGGAGCTTCACGTGGGCAAACAGAACTCAAAAATGATCAGGTGTCAATCTATCCTTGGTCTGCATGCCCTTCTGTTGGAACCCACACTCCTCTGACTAACAGTCGTGCCCAGGATGGTCAGAAATAAGACATGCATTTTATATCAGAAGACTGAAAAGTGTATTTAGCTATCAATGAGCGGAGGCAGAGGACTCATGGTCACACCCTTGGAGGCAGGAGGAGTTTCTGCTCCACCCTCACCACCTTGTCCTTGGCCCTCTTTTCATTGCACCTATCATCTAACATACTATATTCTGTACTGCTTACCCATTCTGGCTAAATTTCTTCTGCCCCTAGAATCCAAGTTTTTGACACTATGGACTTTGTTCACCACTGCACCCTAAGCACAGAAACATGGTCTGGTACATAATATTTGTGCAATAAATACTTTCTGAATGAATAAACAGCTATTAAATTTTTTATGCCCTCAGCAAAATAGAAGTGAAGATTTCCTAAACTTAGAGAAGGCTAGAAACAAAATTTTGCAACAAATGTAAACTCATTCAGAAATATGAAATTAAGTTGTATATAAGATCAGAAATAGGTAGGTGTGATGACTCATTCCTGTAATCCCAGCTACTCAGGCGAGACCCTATCTCAACTAACAGCTGGGTGTAGTGATGCAGGCCTGTCATCCCAACTACATGGGAATAAAGAGGAGGATCACAGTGTAGGTGGGCCTGACCAAAAACCTAAGCCCCATCTCAAAACGACTAAAGTAAAAAGGGTGTTTGGTGGAGGGGGAGGGAACCCTAAAGTACAGAGTACCCTTCTAGCAGCAAGTGAGAGGCACTGCATTCAACCCCTAATTGAACCCCAACCCCCGCCAAAAAAAAAAAAAAAAAAGAAAAGAAAAACCACAGAAATAACACAGAGGATGACATTCATTAATACCACTAGTGCTTAGCATAAAATGAGTTGGGTGACATCACCGGGTTGGACAGAGAAGTGCAAGGGCAGGTGATGAAGGGACAAAGGTCCTGATACAATTCATTGTCCAACTTAAAAACAGAACCAAGCTGGGCACCAATGGCATGCTATAATTCTAGCTACTTGGGAGGCTGAGATTGGAAGGATGGAGGGTCAAGGCCAGCCCAGGCAAATAGTTTGAAATACCTCATCTCTAAAATAACCAAAGGAAAAAAAATGGACTGGAGGCATGGCTCAAGCAGTAGAGCACCTGCCTGGCAATATGTGAGGCTCTGAGTTTAAACTCCCAATACTGCAAAAAATTAAAAAAAACAGAACCAGTCAGGGATGGGGTTATAGCTCCAAAGATACAACACAACACCTGTCTGGTAAATGTTAAGGCCCTGAATTCAAACCCTAGTACTAAAAACAAACAAACACAGAACTTATCAGTGATCAAAACTTAGAAATAAATTTAAGACTGCTGAATTTAAAATCAAGTAACAGGACTAGGGGCATAGCTTGGTGGTATCCTACCATGTACATGGGTACCAACAGTCCCAATATTGAAAAAAAAAAAAAAAAAACCCACACAAAATCAAGTTACAAAATGAAGGCCATTTCTCAATACGTTGGTATTAACCAGAAAATATAAGGGGAAAAAATACAATTATTCACAAAAGCAGAATTTAAAAAAAAAAAAAAAAAGCTAGCCAAAAGATTAGCCAAGATTACATAAACCCTGTGTGCAGAAAAAAAATTTAAATAAGGGGCATTTCATGTTCTGAAATATAATGACAAAATTACAAAGGTGTCAAGTCCCCCTCAACCTAAACCTGTAAATTCAGTGATATTCTAATCAGAATTCTAATTAGTATATCAAGAGCCTCTCAAATTAACATGTATCAGGAAGAATAGTATAAAATAGTAAAAAAAAAGAAAGGGAAATATAACCCACAATAGACAAAGTTCACATTGTCCTGCCTAGATCCACAGGAAGATGGCTTGAGCCCCAACATGGCTGAGCACCAAAGACAAAGGTGCACCCCAGGTCCGTGAGTGTAGCCTTAAGGCTTGAGTCCAAGCATGCAGGTCTAGCAATATGGAATCACTATCCTGGATGGTCTGATGACTTCAAAGTTCATATAGGAACATACAAAGAGATGGATTTGTGGCCCATAAACAGAGAATTCATAAAACAGAAAAGCATGAATCACATAGCAAGAAAAACAAAAATCTGGTCAAAGCAGAGATTTTTGTTTTACAGGAAACATAAACAGGCAGGGTAGCCATGAGTAATGATATAATCACAATTTGTAAAACCAGTAAGGGATTATTATCTAGATGTAACAACATTAATCAACAAGAAAAGGCAGAAACCCCAATGGAAAAAGGAGACACGGGCAGGGCACTGGTAACTCATGCCTGTAATCCTAGCTATTTGGGAGGCAGAGATCAAGAGGATTGCGGTTTTGAGGACAACCTGGGCAAACAGCTAACGAGACTCTATCTCTAAAATACCCAACACAAAAAATGGTTGGCAGAGTGGCTCAAGTGGTAGAGTGCCTGCCTTGCAAGCATGAGGCCTTGAGTTCAGACCTAGTACTGACTCTGTGTGTATACACATATACATACACACACACATCAATAATAAAAATATCTAACAAAACACCCAATTCTTGCCAGGCATCTGTAGCTCAAAGCTATAATCCTACCTCCTTGGGAGGGTAAGGTCAGGAAGATCGCTGGCAGAAGTAAGTCCCAAGAGTTCCCAAGACCCCATCTCCAATATAACCTGAGGAAAATGGACTAGAGGCCTGGCTCAAGCAATAGAGTGCCTGCTTTGCAAGTGCGAAGCCCTGAATTCAAACCCCAGTCCCATCCAAAAAAAAAAAAAAAACCCACCTCTTTAAAAACTAAACAAAGACAAAGAAAAATGAAAAAGGAATTTACAAAGTCTGTGAAATGAAGCAAAAGGAAAATACAGCTCTAACAGGGATCTATGCTGAGGGTCCTGTGCTGGTGCTGAGGGACCTGTGCAGGGAAGAGAATAGTTCCTGGTGGGCAGGGATGTAGAGGCTCCCACACCGCAAAACTGAGAGGATGGAGATCAAATTCAGTGTGCAGGACAAGGAAAATAAATAAATCTGAGTAGGAACTGATTAGAGAGAGGTAATATGGAAATTAATTAAACAGGAAGTTCTCTTTTGACACAATGAACAAAACTGATAAACCCTTCTCTCAGGTTAGCGCTACACTGATACCAAAAGCAGACAAAGGAGCTACACAAGAAAAGACTACAGAACAATATTCCTAATCGACACAAATGCAAACATTCCAAACAAAATTTTAATGAACCAAACCCACAAATATATTGTAAAAGCTAACAAATACAGTGTAAGTGGGGTTTATCCCAGGAATCAGGGTTGGTTTGACATTCAAATAAACCAATCAATATAATTCACCATATTGAGAAACTAACAGGGAAAAAAATTATCTCAAGGAATTCAGGAAATGCAAGGTGCATGCCTGTTACGCCAGCACATGGAAGGCTGAGGTAGGAGGATTGAGAATTGGCTACAGAGTGAGACCATTGTCTTCAGCAAAAAATAAATAAATAAAAAGATAGAGAGGAGTAGGAGGGAGAGAGGTTGTGAACAAGTACTTCGCAATACCCCTTCTGATAAAAACTCCAAGCAAATTAGGCTGGGGATGTAGCTCAGTGATATAGCATTCATCTAGAATGCACTGGTCCCTGAGTTCAATTTTCAGCACTGGGGAAAAAAAAAAAAGATAAAGAAAACAAATGAACTCAACAAAGCAGAAATAGAAGACAGCTTCCTGAAGCTGAAGGCATCTGTACAAAGCTTACAGCAGCATGTCAGGTAAGCTGTCCACTCTCACTGCATCACCCTGAAGATGCTGGTGAGTGCAGTCAGGCAACGCAGAGACAAAGGGCATATGGGTCAGAACCAAGCAGCAACAGAGCTCAGTGGTCAGGACCTGTGAGGTAGCTACCAGTACTGAGGAGTGAGCTTAGAGAGAGGACTCAGGACACAAGACCTACGGCAGAAATGAAACCAACCTAAAACCTCACTCCTTATAAAACTTAGCTCAGAATAAAAAGATGCAACATTACATCAAAAATTATAAAACTGGGCTAAGAGAGTGGCTTAAGTGGTAGAGCACTTGCCTAGCAAGCATGAGGCCGAGTTCAAAACCTAGTACCACCAAAAAACAACAACAACAAAAAACTATAAAATATCTATGCACATCTGTAATCCCAGAACTCAGGAGGCAGAGGCAGGAGGATCATAACTTCCTAGACTTTGTAACAAGACCCTAATCTCAAAAAAAGTAGAAAGACAAGCCACAGAATGATGAAAGAAAATATTTACAAAACTCCTACTTGATAAGGGACTTGTACCTATAATGTATGTTTTTAAAAATGCTGACAGTTCAATAATAAAAATCATCCAATTTAAGAAGTACTAAGGAGACATTTCTCCAAAGAACACATATGGTGACGAATAATACATGAAATGATGGTCAATATCACTAGCATCAGGGAAATGCAATCCAAAACCACAATGAGACAGAATCTCATATCCACACCCATGGCTGTAATCAAATCAAGAAATGGGGCTGGTGAAGTGGCTCAAGTGGTAGAGTACCTCACTGCCAAGCATGAAGCCCTCAGTTCAAACCCCAGTACTGCCAAGAAAGAAAAAGTAACAAGTGGAAGAGGGGATATGGAGAAACTGGAGACCACGTAAACTGCTGGTGGGAACACAAGACAGGTGCACTGTGAAAATAATAACTTCTATGAAGTCAGGTCTTGGCTCAGAGGTCATGAGTAAGGAGGGAAAATCAGGAGACAGAGTGTGGGGTTAAAAAAACAATGTAGCACATACTTCTGGCACCTGTGCAATGACTTCTACTAAAAAAGGCCTCAGGATCAGTGCCCATGGAGATAAAAGGAAAAAAACAGTGAAGCAGGACATTTCAAAGAACAGGGTGTGGCAACAGAAAGTGGCCAAGGAACAGGAACACCAGGCAAAGTCTCAATTAAAAAAAAAAGTCTCTTACCCCCATAAACAGGGTAAAGCATCATCAATAGGTGATGGGGTGGTAGGTGGGGAGGCAGTGAGCCCCAGGATTAGCAACAGAGGGGGGCAGGGTCACCAGAGAACAAGCAATCTTGAGGCTGGCAGGCTAACTGAGGCTCCCAAGCCACACAGAAGTCACCTATGGGGTAAGGGCAGAATGCAGGCAGGGACCACAAGTGGCTGTCTGGTGGAGGGTAGACCTGAGCTGGAGTCTCCCACAGGTCCAGAGTCTGAAACGCTCCTCAGCTATCAGTCTCAAGAGGTCCAGTCAGAGAGTCAAAGTCTCCTGACTGGCTCCCTTGCAGTGTGACCACATAGATTGTGTCCAGTTCGGTAGGCACATCCTAAAATGTGCCGAGTCATGCAGAGTAAAGTGTCTACCCTCACATTTTCCTGCCTCCTTAAATCTCCCTCATATTGCCCTTCTGTAGATCCCTCCCCACTTCAACACTCTTCCCTCCGACCCTCTAGTTCACTTTTTCCTGACTGTTATTTAAATGGAATCATACAGCCTATGGCCTTTGGGGTCTGGCTTTCTTCACTTGCCAAAACACACTTCCACATTCACCCATGCTGTTGCATGAACCATGTTATATATCTACCATCCTACTATGTGCATACATGAATTTGTTTATGCAGTGTGTTATGAGGTAAGGTCTGGGTGGACTCTGGTTTTCAGTAGTATAAATAAAGATGCTACAAACATTTGTGTGATCACAGACTTTTCATTGTCTGGATGCACTTTAAGGTGAGGATATGCAGGCTTTTTGCTTTCCATACTTAATTACTGTCTTTTTCTTTCTCTAGCAGATCTTTTGCATGTGTATCTGTTCAGGAGTAGAGACTAGAAGTACACTTTAATCCTGGTAGACCCAAGAAAGTCAGAAGCCTGGGACAGGTAACAGGAAGCAGGCATTCGCAAAGTCATCTCTCCTCTCCCAAGTGAACTGGCCCTTACCTTCTTTCAGCAGTTCGGTTTTCATGCAGTAATCCTGCTTCGTCTCCCCCTTGGCTGGAACTGCCTGCTGAAAAAAACAAAACAACAGTCATCAACTTGGATGCATCAGGGACAGATTTCTCCAAAACACATTAGTTATAAACACCATTCTGAAAGATGTCCTGGCAGGGCTCATCAACCCATAGACAGTATAATCACCTCTAGAAGGAAGTCTGGCACATAGAGAATAGTCCACAGAAACGTACACCTGGTCTATAGTCCTGGAAAAGGTTCTTAACAATAAGAACAGGTTTGTGTATTACTTATACAGAGAAATCTGTAACGGAATATTCTAATTTATTTTGAAATGAACTATGTTGCTGACAATAACTTATATAAGTATTCCAATGTCCAACAACCCACAAAAAAGGTATAGAGATGAATAAATCAAGAAAATTCAGTAAGCTACTTAAATCACTAGATAGTTAAGTATCTACCACATGGAGGCATACACCATACAAGTCCTTATGAGAAATTTTAAAGACAAAAATCCTGGGGATATACATCACTCTGGTTTCTCACCTCAAACTCCAGGAAATTTCAGACCCCAGAACCTAAGTCCGTGACTCCCATCACAGCTCTAAAAACCTCTGGAATTTTCTCAGACTATTTCCACTGAACCTTAAGCTTGCTACTAATTCCACTTCACATGAAGTCCGGCTCCCAAGAGAAGAGCCATGTCCCATTCTGTCACCCAAAGTCCCAGACATCCACTTTGTCCCTTTCTCACTCCTGCCGGAAACAAACATCTCACATCTTCAGTGCTTCTCACATGCTCCCATCAGCAGCCTCTTGAAAGGAGTTGGTAACTCCACTATCCCCTGGGAACACAAAGGGTGGAAGGAGGGCCTGACTTTCTCCCAACAATCCCATGCAATTTCCTCCCACCTTTTCTAGAGCTTCATGTGTGGCCTCCAGTGGTTTTCAAAGTATAAGTGAAAGACCTCAGCAGTCCCTAAAAGGATCTGGTTTTTGAGTCATATACATACACTCAGGGGAGGGATCCCCAGCCAGCCTTCTGCTGATAGGACCTGAAGGATGTCTGTAGCTGCCTCTGCCGGTCACTTGGAATGAAGGTCAACCACAATCACTGAACACCTGCTGGGTCCCAGGCACACAACAACCTCAGTAGACACCCAAGGCCCTGTCTCACATCCAGTAAGCTTGATAATGAGTTGACATCAGTTAAGGGTGGTTTTATAACTTTAAAGGCTTGTAAACAGTGACTATAACAAAAACAAAACACAACTGTGACAGAAATCCTTGAGGCAAAACTACCTGTGGGAAGAATTTGCAGACCCCTGTTCTGGTTGAAGAGAAGCAGCAGAAGCAAACAGGTTAACTAAGTGCTATTAAGTCTATAAGAAGAGCCTCGGCAGCCATTCCCACCCAACACTCCTTGTCCTCTGATCCCATCTTTGGGTCCATCTGCCTGTCCTACTAGCTGGTTCCACAAGAAAGCACTGGCCCTTTACCTGCACATCTGTTTTCCACAGGACAGATGCAGATGGCATTCTTGGGAACACCCCAGATGCATAACCAATACCCACAAGTGATTAAGAAAAGGCCAAGCCACATTCATTCTGGGATCCCCATGGCGGGGCGGGGGAAGGGGGGGTCAGAGCACAGAGCAGGACAATGCCAGTGCCATGAACAGAAGGCCAAGCGACCAAGTTCAGCCCAGGACCAGAGCAGGGAAGAACAGAAACCTCCTGAAACCAAACCTCCAATCCGCTATGTGGCTGAGACCACATTTCCTACTAAGAGGGAACATAGCTCTCCTCACATATGGAGAAGGGCCAGTGCTGGGATCATGGCTCAAGTGGTAGAGCACTACCTAGCAAGCGTGAGTTCACAAACCCCGGTGCTGTTAAAGAAAGAAAAAGACACAGGATGTGTATGTACATAGGGTTTCCAGACAAAACGAAGACCCACGCACAAAGCACACCTTCTCTAGGTGAGTGCCAGCATGCGTTTGTCCACTCCATTCCCAAAGTCTTTCCGGCCACACAAAGGACAGAAGCTAGTATCAGCCTTTTCATGCCATAAGGGGGTGTGCATTTACATAAACTAGACTGTCTTAATGATTAAAAACTTTTCACAGCACATTACTTTATTTGGCATGTCCCTCACTCTAACCCATTCACAAAATAATAAGCATAAATAAGTATACAATTAACACAACCTGTGAGTAAAATAAAGGAAGCATATACAATGACATCTCAAATAAGTGTATTTCCCTCTTGAGGCTGACAGATCAGCACTGCTTTTCATCTATAAGAAGCCATTTAACTGAAATGACTGTGCATCTAATAAAACTTGCCATAATAGAATTAACCTAAATTTCACAGCAATTGATTCTGGATGCTTTTTCAAAGGACAGTTTCCATTTTTCATGGAGTATAAATTATTAAGATTAAAATTTCCTTGAGGGCCTAATAGCCCCTTTCCATGCATTCCTGGCATTCCTCTGCCTGCTCCTGTGGAACCACTTCTTCAGGCCTGCATTGACACCACCTGATGGAGGGCTGGGGAGCCAGGGCACACCTGCAGGTGAGGATCAGCTTCCCAGGTGCTTGCCTCATCTAGTTCTATCAAACTGCTGATTTTTCTCTTTAAGGAAAAAAAAAAAAAAAAAAAAAGGTGTGGTTTAAAAAAAAAAAAGGGGGGGAAGCATTAAAAACTTAAACACTGCCCCTTAAAAGATTCCTAAAATTCAGTTAAAAACTAGATACATTTTGTATAATCCATATTAAAATTATTTAAAGATAAGCCCATGAAAATATTTAAATAGCTTTGCGAAAGTTTTTTGTTTTGTTTTGAGACAGGGCCTGATAGGTAGTACAGGCTGGCCTCAAACTCTGGATCCGCCTGCCTCAGCCTCCTGAGTGCTAAAATTATAGGTATGTACCACCATACCTGGCTTAACTTTGTAAATTTAAAATTTAAAAACATGGAAGAACCAATGGAATTACGTCAGCTCCAAATTGGACAAGAACAACGGCCTTTGTCTTCTGTAGGAGTGAAATACCCTGCCCAACTGTGTCTGGAGCCCCACCCTGGCTGCTCTACTTGGAACAACCTAGCAGCTTGCTGTCTATGTTGCTGAACTGAGTTCCTCACCAGCTTTAAAACTCCTTCTAAACGGATGGAACTGGAGAACATCATTCTGAGTGAGGTTAGCCTGGTCCAAAAGACCAAAAATCCTATGCTCTCCCTCATATGTGGACATTAGATCAAGAGCAAACATACAAGGGGATTGGACTTTGATCACAAGGAAGGTATGAGGACAGGTAAAACACCCAAAAAACTAGATAGCATTTGTTGCCCTCAACGCAGAGAAAGCAAAGCAGATACTTTAAAGCAACTGAGGCCAATAGTAGAAGGGGACCAGGAACTACAGAAAAGGTTAGTTTGAGAAGAATTAACTTAGAAAATAACATACAAGTACAGGAAAGCAATGCGAGTCAACTTCCTGTATAGCTATCCTTATCTCAAGTAGCAAAAACCCTTGGTCCTTCCCATTATTGCTTATACTCTCTCTTCACCAAAACTAGAGATAAGGGCAAAATAGTTTCTGCCTGGTAGGGAGGAGTTGGAGGGTTGGGGGAGGGGGGAGATAAGGGAGGGGGCAGGTGGAAGGTGGGAGAAATGACCCAAACATTGTATGCACATATGAATATAATAAAAAAAGAAAAAAAAAAAAAACTCCTTCTAAGGTTAGCTGTTTTAGAGACATGCTCATCCACTGAAGAGGTGACATAGGATCCACTATTTACTGAAGATAGCACACTGTAAGCTATCTGGTCAACAGCCCCCAGATGGCAGGACTATGAGGTGATTTCTAACATGCAGTTACTTCAAAAGTGACCATTTTGGCCAATAGGAAAAGGGGACCAGGAACTAGAGAAAAGGTGAGATCAAAAAGAATTAACCTAGAAGGTAACACCCACGCACAGGAAATCAATGAGTCAACTCCCTGTATAGCTATCCTTATCTCAACCAGCAAAAACCCTTGTTCCTTCCTATTATTGCTTATACTCTCTCTACAACAAAATTAGAAATAAGCGCAAAATAGTTTCTGCTGGGTATTGAGGGGGTGGGGGGGAGAGGGAGGGGGTGGAGTGGGTGGTAAGGGAGGGGTTGGGGGCAGGGGGGAGAAATGACCCAAGCCTTGTATGCACATATAATTAAAAAAAAAAGAAAAGAAACTGTAAGAGGAGGTGAAAAAAAAAAGTGACCATTTTACTGCTTCTCTTAGTCAGACTAAACTTTCTACAGCAAACCCTCCTTTGCACAACATGCCAGTTAAGATAAACTGAGTCCATGTTTCGTCAGCAAACTAAGAACAGTAATAAATAATAAGTAGTTCTCAGAATTCATTAAGTGGTCTGTTTTCACACAGTGTCTCTGCAGGTTACCAGGATGTTAAGAGTGAAGCGAGAGAAATAACCCACCCCAAGTCTAGCCAGCCCATCAGTGTGGTCCTCCCCTTGGGCCAGGCTGTACAAGTCACAGCAGGAGCTATGTGGGCAGAAGAGATATGGAGGAGGCCTCAGAGGAGAAGACAACCTCATTACAGGACTCTTTTGCTTGCTCTCCAGAAAGCTGTGCTCTCAACATCACTAGAAGTCAGCTGTGTCTAGCTCTATGTGACAGACACATCTGGTTCTATGTGACAGAGACACCCTACCCACAAGACTTGGAAGGAATATCCTCTCTACGTATTCATTCTGACTTACCGAGCACAACTTACCTGACCCTAAGGAAGAATTTCTCCTCTCAGCACTAAGATTTTAACCACAAAAAATATCCTTACATATAGACCAAAAGTAAAATCCTTAAAGTTACCAGAAACTTAAACTGCTTCCAGAAAGCCTTCACAGTAGTGTGTGGGGTTACCTGGACAGTTCAGTGGGCACCTCAGGGCAAGCATGCGCCAGGAGTACCTGCTATGTAACCCACAGAGATCAACAGTAAACATACAACCTGGCACATGGTTGCAAATTCTGAGTTTTCAGGGAGCCA